CCTGCAAAGGTCACCCCTGTAAAATTGTTCCATGGGGTGCCCTTACGGGGGGGGGGCAGTTCTGTTTTCCTGCCACAACCCACAGGGGGTGGTTCTTGTGCCTTATTCATTCCCAGCCCGGAAGCCACATCAGGGCCTCCTCCTCCTCCTCGCCCAGCTGCTCTGCTCCAGCTTGGCCAGGGGATCCTCCCTGGCGGTCCTGCCTGCTGGGAGGAGGGCTGCCCGGGGCCAGTTTTGTGGCCTGTCTGGACCTGGGCCCACAGAAAGCTGATTCCTCCCAGTGTGGAGCCCGTGTGCACTCTCTGTGCGGGCCTTTCGGTCCCCCTCCTCGGCTCGCTCGCTCGGGGGGGCTCTCTGAGATGCGAGATTCCTGCCAGGTAATTCTTTGTTTAGGGGCCGGGTGGGTGTTGGAGGGGGGCCAGGGCTGCGGGTTCAGGGGAGCCCTCCCCTAAACATATACTGTACACATAAACGCTGGCTAGAAAAAACGGTAGCAGGAAGTATTGAAAAGTGGCTTGACTGGATCAAGGTAACCATGGCACCAGGTTGGGACACACGCATGCCCTTTGCTGGAAACTGGAAACTGGGAGACTGGGCGTGGATGCAGAGGAAGAGGAAACGGGAAGCACAGACACCCCTATATATATATATATATGGGGGGGGCGTTTCCTCGCCTTTTACCCTGAGGGAAGCCGTTTGTAGTTGTCTGTTAGGCAGCCTATTTTAATAAACACACCGGTTATAAAAGGAGCCTCTTTGGTGTTTCGTTGTTTTGGTGATGGACACGCCAAGCCTCCTCCTCCTCCTTCCCTGCCTTGCAAGAGGAGAAAAAAGATCCTCAGGGTGAGGATGGAAAGGGTTTTTAGAGGGCATAAAATTGCACAGATTTAACTGGGTGCCAAGAATATCCGTGCTGTTCAGTTGCAGCAACAGTTTCCTAACGCCTTCCTTCCCTACCATGGTTTTCCTCCCAAGGGATAATGGAATATGTAGTCTGCCCTCATGGACCATCCAGGGAATAACCAGACATGCAATTTGCCCTCACACGCTTTCATCGCAGGGGATAATGGGGTGTGTGGTTTGCTCTCATGTACCTTTGGCCCAGGGGATAATGGGATATTTTCTCTCATATAAACTCCAAATCCCATGATCCTGTAGTACACTACTGAAAGAGGGCTCGCGCCGCGGCTACTGTGCGGTGCAAGCCACGCCCCACGACGAGTCCGGGCTCGATTAGCCTCGCCTAGCCACAGAGACGTTGCCAGAGCGGCAGAGAGGCCTCTGCGGAGCCGAGTTGTAGTGCAGCCGAACACGCTGGTCTCGGGAGTTAAGCATGCTGCTTAGTAGGCGGAGCCGCAGGCCGAGCCCGGGGAAGCCAATAGAGAGCCGTGACGTGGGCGTGGCTTGAAGGGCGTGCGGGGAGTGGGAATCTGGCGCTCGGCGCGGCGGGGCCGGCCAATGGCATTGGAGAGCGGAAGAGACCATGAAGTGAGAA